GCCACTGCACTCCAGCCTGGGCAACAGAGTGAGACTCCGTCTTAAAAAAAAGAAAAAGAAGAAGAAAACCCTGGCCCTCCAGCTCCATTAACCAGCTTGGCCCTGGACATGTTCACCTCTCTGGTACCCAGCTGTCTTCACTGCAAAATGAAAACACCACCATGTACCCTGCAGGGAACTTGGAAGGATCTAACACCTGGGCAATAAAGTACCCAATACTTCGCACTCAGGACTCAGCATGTATCGGGGACATAACCCACAACAGTAACTAAGAAAATCAAGCCAGGCACGGCGGCTCATGCCTGTGTTTTTTTTTTTTTTGAGCCAAGGTCTCGCTCTGTTGCCCAGGCTAGAGTGCAGTGGCACAATCATGGCTCACTGCAGCCTCAACCTCCTGGGCTCAGGTGATCCTCCCACCTCAGTCTCCCAGGCAGGTAGGACTACAGGTACACGCCACCATACCTGGCTAATTTTTTGTATTTTTTGTAGACACAGGGCTAGTCTCAAACTCCTGGGCTCAAGTGATCCGCCCACCTCCGCCTCCCAAAGTGCTGGGATTACAGGCTTCAGCCAGCATGCCTAGCCAAGAATCTGCATTTTAATAAGAGTCCCCTTGATCCAAGTGCAGAGCAAGTTTCGAGAAGCTCTGTAAAGGATCTGTGAAGAATTTGGGTCCCTATCCTTCCAGCAATGAGAAGCAAATGAAAAACCATCAGCAGATGGCGGGGGTAGTCAAAAAGGGGACAGAATTTAGAAACAATGACTCCTCCCCTGTAGGAGGGGAACTGGGGCAGGAGAAGGGGACTGCACAGTGGATTTCAAGAGGCTCAATGAATGACTGAATAAATGAATGAGCAAATGAAGCTGAAAGCAATGCCCGGAAGATGAAAAGTCCCCCTTGAGGGATATTACAGCATAAACGGGTGGTTCTCAAAGTGTGGTCACTAGACCAGGCACATCAGTATCACCTGGGAACCTGTTCAAATGCACATGTTCTGGCCCTATCCCAGACCTACTGAATCAGAAGCTCTAGGGACAGTGCCAAGGAAAGTGTGGCTTGGTAAGCCCTCCAGGAGATTCTAATGTACACTAATGTTAAAGAACAGCCTTTTGGCGGCAGGAGGGTGCAGAGAAAGGAAGAGGCAGGGCTCTGTCCTTCCCTGGCACCAGCTCTCACCTGTGCATGATGGGCAGCACCCCCCATCTTTGGAGGGAATTGGGTGGGAACAAGCAGCTTCACACCTCACCTTTTCACAGGTCACCTTCCCATCCTAGAAGCACAACCAGGAGTTACAGCCATCACAAGGCCCCAGACTCCAGACCAAAGAAGTTCCAGGGACCCCTAGTACCCACCTTGCACCAGCACTGGGAACACCCAGGCTCTGTCCAGCGACTCCCTGATTCAAGCATGGCTCCCAGGTGCCAGCAGGGAGAGGGCCCTGCTGCCAGCCAGGGGGCCTTAGGGCCCCTGGGTGAGGAAGGGGTCCCCATCACTTCCCCATGAAGGAGTGAGGGGGGTCTGAGGTTCCCCAGCAGTGAGGCAGTAGGCACTGGGGTGGCCATCAGGCTGGACAGCAGCCACACAGGGGCAGAAGGGGAGGATGTGGGTAGTGGTGGGGTGGGAGATGGCAGGCGGGTGGTCCTGACTCCGGCTGGGGGCCCTGGAGCCCCAGAAGGAGGGCTATGTCCTGGGGACAGGGCAGGCCGGCCGGCCTCAGGAAGCAACAGGAGCATCTTGGACGGGTGTTGCCGGGGTTGCAGGATGGCAGATGGGGCCAGCACAGCTTTCGGGAAAGCTGAAACAGAAGCACGGAGGTCTGTTGGGGTGGGCAGCAGAGACAGGAGGCAAGGTTTAGGGAGACCTGGGCTCAGCTCCACCACAAGCCCCTGTTTACCCCCGTGGTCCGCGCAACATTCTACTATGTTTATGGGCAAACTGTCGCCGTGCGACAGAGCGAACCACGGAAATGGTTGTCGCTGCAGCCCATGTTATTCTGACTCCTTGTTGGGTTTTATCCTTTTATCATTTGGGAAAAAACAGAAGGGCTGGGGAAACAGTGAAAAGAAGAGGGAAGAATGGATAAAGAAGTGGGAAAAAAAAAAAAAGCGAGAAAGAAAGGGGAGTGTTGGAAGTAACAAACAAGATGAACTGAAAACAAGGGCAGACGGAAATAAGGGGGCCTGGCGCCAGGTGGGCGGGGCCGGGGCAGGGCAGGGCCAGGCGCTGAGAGGGCGTGGCTGGGTGCCCGGAGGGCGTGAATGGGGAGGGGACACGCTCTGAGGGGGCGTGGCCAGTCGCCGACTGTAGGGAGGGGAGGGGGACCTCACCTTCACAGGACACGCGGTCAGCTCGGAGCCTGAAGCCAGGTCGGCATGTGCATAGGAAGCTGCCCACGGTGTTGTGGCAGGAATGGTGACAGACTCGCCTCTCCAGTGGCCTCCGACACTCGTTTACATCTGCGGGAGAGCCTCGCTGCGGACAGCTGCTTTGTTTGGGGTACCGAGCCATTCTTCCGCCCATCCCTTAGCTCAGAAGACTTGGGGAGTTTCCCTGCCACGTTCTTACAGGGTCCATCCCTGCCCCAAGGTGCGGGATGTGACTCAGGCAGTTGGGAGCGGGGCTGAAATCTAGTGCTAGTCTCGTTGATAGGTTCACATATCCAGCAGGCATTTAATGCGAGTATCAGACTCAGCCCCAGCACTATGCAGTGGTAATTAATTGCTGCCTGGTGGGGATACATCCCGCTGAGAAGCTCATCTCCAAACCTTCCACCCTCCCGTTTTTCTTTCCGAAAAAAGTCTCAAAACTCACTGAGCTGCTCAAGGTAGGCTTCGGGACAAATAGCCAACTCCGCTAGAACAAGGCCTTTTTTCAGGCCCATGGGACCCCACCTTCAGCCCATGAGCCAAGCTCGAACCAAACATGCCAATCCCTTTCTGGAAACTTCTGCTAATGGGCTGAGAAAACAGGGTCTCCTTCTAAACCAGAGGAACCAAGACATAACGTGCTTTATTTACCAAGGGGAGCAAAGGCAGCCAAGAAAATGGGTGAGCAGAGAGGAATCCTTGGGGTGTATCTGGGAGAGGAGCGGAAGAGAAACATAACAGGATGAAAGTGGCAAATGGCCAGGAAAAGTCCAAGACAGGGTCTTCATGCAGAGCCACGCCAACCCCAGGGACAGGCAGGCTCTGAGCAAAGGCTCAAGCCCCTTCAGGCTCCAGAGGACCAGAAGGTCTGATTGTTAACCTTCCCGGGTCCCTGGGCTCCCTGTCCATCTTCCTGATTGGCAGCCTAAGTGTGCAGACCACAGCGTCCTCCCCGCCTTACCTACACAGGAGTGCCGGTTGCCATGAAGGTGGAAGCCAGTTCGACAGGAACACTTGTAGCTGCCAATGCTGTTTTTACATCTCTGCTGACAGGGAGTCCCTAGGCATTCATCAGTGTCTGGCAGGAAAAGGGACAAGACTGGGGTTCATTTCCCCAAGAGAACTTTGGAAACATGTGGTCCCCTCTTCCTCTCTCATCTCCATCTCCTATCCCACACAGGGCTGTGGGGAACCACCTTAGCTGCCACTCTTCTGCACTGCCCACATCCAGTCCTAAATACTCTCTGGACCAGCCCACGTCTCTCATCCTCACTGCTACCCCTTAGCCTGCCCACATTCATCTCTAGTCTGGAGAATAGCCACAGCCTCCAGTGTGTCTCTCTGTCTCTACCTAGGTTCCTTCAAGTCATCCTCTGCACAGCCTCCAGGATGTTCTGACCAAAGGGCACTTCTAATCAGGGCCCTCCCTGCTCAAAACCCCTCCGCTGCTCCCACGGGTCACAGACCTCATCTTAGGGTAAGACACGAATGCCGCCCCACAGCTCACGACGCCTTTGAACATAGTCCTGGTTGCCTTGCCCACCTCCTTCCTTGCCCCGACTTTCACTCTGGCTTAAATTCTTTTATTGTTTGTTTGTTTGTTGTTGTTGTTGTTGTTTGAGACAGAGTGTCGCTCTTTTTGCCCAGGCTAGAGTACAATGGCACAATCTCAGCTTACTGCAGTCTCCATCTCCTGGGTTCAAGCAGTTCTCCTGCCTCAGCCTCGCAAGTAGTTGGGATTACAGGCGCCACCACGCCTGAGTAATTCTGTATTTTTAGTAGAGATGGGGTTTCACCATGTTGGTCAGGCCGGTCTCAAACTCCTGACCTCAGGTGATCCACCTGCCTTGGCCTCCCAAAGTGCTGGGATTACACAGGATTACACCTGTGAGCCACTGCACCTGGCCACTGGCTTAAATTCTTGCCATCTTCCAAATGCACCATGCTCTTCTGGTGCTCCCCTTTTGCCCGTGTTCTCTGTCTGCCTAGAATGCCTTTCTCTCTTGTCTGGCTGGAAAACTCCTAGTCATACTTCAAAACTCAGCTTCAGTGGAACCTCCTCTGTGAAAGTTCCCTAGTGCTGTTTGAAATTGTGAAAAACTGGAAATAATCTCCATGTTCATCAATAAGAGAAGAGTTAGTAAACTATGAAATATTTGCACTGCAGAGTCAGCAGTTAAAAGGAACAAGGCAAGTCTATTTACCCTGATGTGGAAAGATCTTCAAGACCAACATTGGGCGGGGGTGGGGGGAACAAGCAAAGAAATGACTAGGTTCAAATCCCAACTCTGGCTGGGCGCAGTGGCTCATGCCTGGAATCCCAGCCCTTTGGGGGCCAAAGGGGGAAGGACGGCTTAAGGCCAGGAATTTGAGACTAGCCTGGGCAACACAGCAAGACCCCATCTCTACAAAAAAAAAAAAGAAAAAAAACCTTAGCGCTAATGGGATCTTAAGCAAGTAACAATTTCCTTAAGCCTCAGCGTTCCTATCAATAAAATGGAGATAAATAATACCAACATCACTGGGTAATTTTGAGGGCGAAAGGAGAAAATGCACGTAAAGTGCTTAGTCCAGGACCCAGGACCCGAGAGTTTAGCAACTATCGTATCTCTGTAAGTGCCGGTGTATGTACATACACATCATGGGAAAGGGCAGTCAGGGCACGCAGCAGACCAATACCTGCATGCTATGGACTAAACTCTGTCCTCTCAAAAATCGTGTTGAAGCCCTAACCGCCAATGTAATGGCATTTGGAAGATACAAAGATAAGTAGATAAGAAGATAATTAGGGTTACATGAGGTCATTAGGGTGTGCCCTATTGATGGGATTAGTGTCCTTGTAAGAAGAAACATGAGAGGCCTAGCTGGGTGGCTCACACCTGTAATTCCAGCACTTTGGGAGGCTGAGGCAGGCAGATCATTTGAGGTCAGGAGTTCGAGACCAGCCTGGCCAACATGGTGAAACCCTGTCTCTACTAAAAAAACAAAAATTAGCCAGGCATGGTGGCGCACACCTGTAACCCTAGCTATTTGGGAGGATTGGAGAATCGCTTGAACCCAGGAGGTGGAGGTTGCAGTGAACCAAGATTGTATCACTGCACTCCTGGGCGACAGAGGGAATGTCCTCTGTCCTTCTCCATGTCAAAAAAAAAAAAAGAAAGAAAAATTAGAAGAGATACCAGAGAGCTCTCTCTCCAAGTGAGGACACAGCAAGAAGACTACCTTCTGAAAGCCAGGAAGAGCCCTCACCAGAAACTGAATTAGCCGGTGCCTTAATCTTGGACTTTGCAGCCTCCAGAACTATGAGAATCAATGTCTGTGGTATAAGCCCCCAGCCTATGGAATTTTGTTGTTGTTGTTGTTGTTGTTTTTTTGGAGACAGAGTCTCGCTCTGTCACCCAGGCTGGAGTGCAGTGGCGGGATCTCGGCTCACTGCAAGCTCCGCCTCCCAGGTTCACGCCATTCTCCTGCCTCAGCCTCCTGCGTAGCTGGGACTACAGGCGCCCGCCACCACGCCCGGCTATTTTTTTTTGTATTTTAGTAGAGACAGGGTTTTACCGTGTTAGCCAGGATGGTCTCGATCTCCTGACCTCGTGATTCGCCCGTCTCGGCCTCCCAAAGTGCTGGGATTATAGGCATGAGCCACCGCGCCCAGCCCAGCCTAGGGAATTTTATGATGGCCGCCCGAGCAGACTAAGACGTGCAGGCTATTCTCCAGGGAGAGCAGGGGGCAGCAGTGGGAAAGAGGGCCTGGGCTAGCACCATGGCTTTTAAAATTTTTCTTATAATTTATGAAAATGTCAAACACAAAGAAAATAATAATGTAAGATTCAGGGGAAGCTCACAATTATCCGCCTTGTGAGATTCTTTTCTTCCATAACACGTAAATAAAAGGCATTTTAAAAGAATGAGTAATAATTGTAAGATCTCTCATCCTGCAAACTGAAGAAGGATTCCTTCTCTTCCCTGGGTTTCTCCAACATTTATCCCTCATCCTAACCTTGTTCTTCTGCTCCCCACCAGACTTGGGGGATCCCCCTCCCCAGGGTAGCTCCAGAGCCTGGGCCAGCACTGGGGCAGGTGAAACTGATGAATGAAGTCAGTGAATGACCCCATCCTGGTATGCCCCTCCCACGGCTCCTCTGGTCTCACAGCCTGAGTCTCTCCCGGCCCTCCCTCTTCTCAGTGGCCTCCTTCCCCAGGTTGGTCGGCCCATTCTGCCCAGCTCTCCTTATGACCTCTCTTCCATCACCATCCCTTTATCCTGCAACAGCAGCAGCAGGTACTTTGTTTTCTGAGACGAAGTCTCACTCTGTCATCCAGGCTGGAGTGCAGTGGTGCAATTTCGGCTCACTGCAACCTCCGCCAGATGGGTTCAAGCAATTTTCCTGCCTCAGCCTCCTGAGTAGCTGGGATTACAGGTGCTCGCCACCATACCTGGCTAATTTTTTGTATTTTTAGTAGAGATGAGGTTTCACCGTGTGGCCAACAGGCTGGTCTCAAATTCCTGACCTCAGGTGGTCCTCCCGCCTCGGCCTCCCAAAGTGCAAGGATTACAGATGTGAGCCATCCCGCCAGGCCAGCAGCAGTCGTTAACCAACTGTTAGATGTGCTGGGATTCAAACTCTGACTCCACCTCTTACTAATGACTTGGCCTTGGGCAAGCCTCAGTCTCCACATCAGTCAAACAGGAACCATATCAGCATCTCCCTCAGAAGCCCGTGGTGAAGGTTCAATCCAGTGGCGCACAGAGCACACTGTGCTGGGCATGGCAGGGCTGAGTGTTCAATGTGGCATCCCCATTACCCCTCCCAGAGCAGCCGTTCCTTCTCTGCAGCTCACCTTGGCAGCTGTGGCGGTCAGCAGACAGCTGCATGCCTGGCCCACACTCACACACAAACCCGCCTTCTGTGTTCACACAGTGGCCCTCGCAAGAGGAGCTTACACATTCGTCAATGTCTGGAAAGAGAGAAAGCACGTGTTTACACAGTGGTCCTCGCAAGGGAACTTACACATTCGTCAGTGTCTGGGAAGAAAGCACCCTTGCAGGCCGGGCACTGTGGTTCATGTCTGTAATCCCAGCACTTTGGGAGGCTAAGGCAGGCGGATCACCAGAGGTCAGGAGTTCAAGACCAGCCTGACCAACATGGAGAAACCCGGTCTCTACTAAAAATACAAAATTAGCCAAGCATGGTGGTG